GGGGGATGGTAGGTTAATTTTCACTCCAGGGACAAAAGCCAAGTTCTAATTATCCATCTACCGGTAAATCTTAATTGAGTTATTCTATGAGTATGTTCTCACTTCCATGAATTACAGATGCCCTACAAAAACAACGGTACAATAAAGCCACATCAGAAACACCTACACCTGCCAACTTTTTTTCAGTAAAATGCGTGAGATTTTTCGTCTCCACAGAACCTGAATTTCCGAAGATTTACCGAAGACGTCCGAAGATTGCCGAAGATTTCCGAAGAATGCCGAAGGTGTAGTAGATTTTCGACGACTTAAACCATGACAAAGTTAACCGGAAACGTGTCACGTCACACGATCTAAACACAAGTTGGTGTCGCGAACTCAATTCGCGTTACGGAGTAAGGTTGAAGACGCTTTTTTGCTGGACTCACCAACTGTTTTTCGCCGAAAAAAAAAAAATCGGTTTTAAAGCAATTACACTCGCTATTGTCAGTTGGGCGTGAGAAATTGGTCTGAATGCGTGAGATCACAATTTTAGATCCGCAGGCGTGAGACGCATAATGCGTGAGAGTTGGCAGGTCTAATATTTACACTCCAAATTAAAGGGTAACTCAAACATACATGTTCAGGTTTTATTTAAGTTTGATCTCTCTGCAACTGGGCAAACCTTCCACAATATTTGTGAGCTTCTGAAAAATATGTCAGATTGCCACAGGTTTCTTGGTTTGAAGACTTGCTCCCTTTTGTAAGTTCCATCCTTTCCTTTTAAAAAAAACCTCTGGCTTTTGAAACAGGACCTCTTACATAGCATTTAAGTGGTCGAGTATAACTGTACTCTAAGTGGTGGAGTTAATCAATTTGGAGCATACAGGCTGTCTGAAATAGCTAGGTGTCTTATTGGGTGCTCTCATAAATTTTGGTCTTGGGTACTGATATTTAAATGTACAATTTGTTATTTTTATTACCGCTTCTACATCATAGAAGTCAAGTTTATATCTATACTTCATTGTAATATTTTGTTACACTTCCCAACCCAAATAAATATTCTGAATACAGGAGAATGTGTCATGTGTCGCGGTTCAAAACTCACTAACTCCCTAGGGAAACAGCAACTTAAACTTTTGACTCACGCGTGATTAGGTTGTGCACCATGAAACTGGCAAATTTGCATGCCAGCCAATGTCAAGAAATAATTTTTTTGTAGTTTGTTGCATTTTTGATTTGGGAGGTGTAACAAAACACTTAATGACTGGCCCCGAGCAAAACAGTAAGTTTTGTTTCCCCTCGACCCTCAATGTCCTCAATGTTCCCAAAGGTGAAGGCAAGGAGAACATTGAGGGTCTCAAGGAAACAAACCTCACTGTTTCCCTTGGGGGCAGTCATTAAGTGATTATTGACTAAGAGACAAGGTAAACTACATGTACAGTAAGTAAGCCAAGATGTCTGTAAATTACACAGGTAGTGTTTGTACTAATCTGTACCCCCTAACCAATTCAACAATTTATAATAAAAAGGTCAGTTTTTTATTATTGCACAATTTTTAAGAGGTTTGGAAGTATTTGATAGCAAATGAGAGGTTCAGTAAGAATAATAAGATTTTTAACATCTAAAGACCAAAACTTTCATAACAAGAGCAGTAATACAGTATGACTAGTTTAGAGAGCAATTTTCCCAAAGACTCCCTGGAAACTTAAACGAAGGTTAGACCACAATAAAATTGAAAACGACTGTAAAAAAAAAGAAAACGTTACAGCTATCAAAACCATAATGTGTAACCATCAGCAAAGGCCAGTGAAGTCACATATATAAAGGGGCCATCACATAATTGGTCTGTCTTGAGTATGAACCAATAATCAATTTATTGTTCACTGAAAAATAAAACACAAAATGACAACCACAGCAGCAGTACTAGCAACAACAACAGCAGTTTTCTAATGATTCAAAGGAGTGTGTAATTACACAAATTTTGAGGAAATTAAAATACATACCATTAAAATGTTATTAGAAAAATGCTCTTGATGTAAAAACCTTTACGCAGTTTTGAGAAATACAGTCATGGAAGAAAAAGAGAGCGATTCAAAGTTCACACTAATTTCATCACATAACAAGACTTAGTATAGATCATAGGACTAAGTTTTCTCAGAAGAACTACCCATTCTTAAAATAAAATCTGGTTCCTTTTAATGAAATGAAGCTGGTATGCGAAAGTTCAGGAGGTATGTCCAGGGTTGTCACAAAGGTTTGAAGTACAGTGGAACTCCACCTTATGGTCACCTTGTTCACACTGTCACCTTGTTATTACAGCCACTTTTTTTTGTCCCAACAAAACACTCATACATTTTCTTATAAGAAAACCTTGCTAATGTAGCCACCCTGTCAATATGGCCAACAGCCACATTCTGAAATCCCAACCTGGTTCCACTGTACCGTAGATTGCTCTCTCTATTGTTACAGTATGTAGCCGGCTGATCTTTAAATCTTTTTCTATAGAATCAGTCACAAACCCAGGCAGTGTGGCCAGTCAAGATCGTGAAGTAGATGACGATTTTCAACAGCAGCTGCAGCCAACTACTTCTAACAAACCCTTCAAACTGTATGTCCCTCAGATTGTGATTGTTCTCTTGGGTCTCCAAGCTGGTGATCAAGCAGCAGGCACAACTTAATGTCCCTGCAACAAGTATAACAAGTCACCATGCATTTGCTGACATTCTGGATGCCAGCTTTACGCATTCCAGCAAATGTGTCCCAAATGGACATCGAAATTCATTCTACCTTTGAATAAAACAAGCGATATGAGGGAATCAGCTCAAAACAGCACCCATTGAAACAATTACCGTTATTATTTTGTGCAAAAGTATTACGGTTAAGAAAGTTCTTTAGGTCAAATCAGGTTGAAGTTCTTTAAAACAGAAACTGAAAAATCCACTAGGTATTTGTTAGACTATAAACATTGCTTAAAGTATACAATATGAGAGAAAGTAATGTTTAAGCCATTCGGTACATAGATGTTGCCCAGAAGGCTTCTGCTATACACTCTGCCATCTTTAGACCACAAGTATACCATCAATGTCAGAGAAAATGACAAAGTGAACTGGATCCTGTCTCAGTTCCAGCCAAGTCAAGTAAAACATTGCAACAGCCAATTTGATTAAACTAGTTTCTTTGCTTCAAAGAATCCTTTAAGGTGACGCATCTGCCAGAATCCAGTGCACAGAAGAATCAGGGTTTGTGCGAGAGCCCACCACAACACACGCTGGTTGGTGCTTTCACTGGTTGCTCTAAAGCGCTCCTCACGGAACTGAAATAAAGGACAATAAAATGATAAGCCTCGGAACAACAAAAACCACAGGTGTAACATACCACATAAAACTTTCCTTCTGGATACATGAGAAAGATGATGATCATTTTATTGATTTTAACAATGCCTCCATTATCAACATAGCTTTTTGATGAGAAAGTGACCTATGTCTATAGGCNGTCAACAAATCAAAACATACTGAGTCCAAAACCTGGACTCAATATAACCTTTCAATCTTCTACATGCACATGTCTCGAGAAACGTTTGTAACAAAAAAAAATTCCCAGGAATGAAAACAGTGATAAAACAAAATTAAGAAAGGACTTGAGAAAGTGGGAAGAGTTATTCAGGGCTCACAAAAAGTGTCATCCATTTGGCCGGGACAAGTAGATCTTCCTTCTGGGCAAGCAACTTTTCATTCTCACTTGCCCATTGGACAAAGGCCCAGGCAAGCTGTCTGCCAACCAATTATACAAGAAAATGTAAACTAACACTTGACTAGGGCAAGCAAAATATGAGAATTGCTTGTCTAAAGGGCAAGCTGCAATTCAAGCGTTTTTTTTTTAACCCTGGTTATTGCTGGCATTGAATTCCCTCGGACACAGAAACGTTTCAGTACAGTGCATCGGCATAAGGACAACAACACTCACCAAAATTATTTCCCTTGACTACAGAATTTGATTCACTCACCAGTTTTCCTCCTGCCCACAGTGACCAGCGAGTGGAGTTAGAGTGAAGACAAATAAGGTGTTCACCGGGTGAATGTGACGTAAATGTGAACCGTCCTTCAGACGCATAATATTTAGATAAAATAACTTTCATGTTGGGATCTTTCACTTCTACATGCATGCCTATTCCAGGACTGGACGGGAGAAAATCTCGGATGTTCTCATCGTATAGTTGTGTCTTATATTTACCTTAAAAAGAGAATAGAAGAGAAATATAAATAATAACAACTATCAAGAATCCTTTTCCAGCTGACAACTTGCGATAATATAAGAGGAAGATGAGTCTGAAGAGATAAATCATGACCAGAGATGTTAGATACAGGGGATGCAAAAATTGTGTAATGAAGACTTACATTTCAACTTTACTGTAAAGTCACAGTTCAAA